GCGACTTGACAATTCTCTGATTAACTGTTGATTACCTTGAGTATGGAGTTCACCCCGTGTGCGGTGATGCAACCGGCCAAAAGCCGGGAACACTTCGTTCGTTGACCTATGAAGAATGTGCAAAGTGTGGTTTTCTGGTGAAGGGATGCACGAGTTATCTGATGCATGGCCTTAAGGCAACAATTTGCAACTCATCTTGAACCTTGAATACCTTCTCCCTTGTCCAACTTGTGCTCGTGGAGCGCAAGTCCCTGGTCTCCGTTTTCCTCCTGCCGGTATTCTCTTTTCTCCGCTATCCTCCTTCATAGCTGAACAAGCGATTTCGCCTTCTGGTCATCTACCGCGTTACTGAACGTCCGAATCCTCGGTTGTGATCAACTTTTTAGCTGAATAAAATCAGCATTTTGTAAAAATCGCAAACAAGCAAAAAATTAAATTAATTTTAAAAAGGCTGCATGGTTCTCAGAGAAGCTTGGATTCACACACAAAATACAGCAGTTCGAAATCCGATAGTTCACTCGCATCCCTTTATTTCGAAGTTGATAAACGGTATCATTTCTTTGTGAAGAAATCCCGCCTAGACGACCATATAGTTGCAGAAACATACTTCAATAAATAAACCACTTTTGGCTAACGCTATAAAATGTGGATCGGAGCTGGACTGGATGGAACTTGCACTGAACGAGTACTGAAATGCACTGTAGAGTACTAGTGCAAACGGTCGGAAAAATATCGATTGCGCATGATCAACAAACGTGGAGGCCTTCATTGGAGGCGGTATAAATCACTGATTATCATTAATCGAAAATTAGCCTTTATCAAATGACTGCATGAAACCAATTTTAAGCTGTTTGAAGCCGAAGAAAAAAGGAAAGGCGCATATACAAACAGGAAAATCCTTTTTGAAGAACAGTTACGGAGAAACGGGGCGGTTAGAGCAAATGCAAAATTTCCTTAATCGAATATGGCAAATATATTTTTGATTATGCAATATCAGTAAAGAATAAATGAATCTTTATGTTCTAAATGGCAAATACGTCGAATCTGCAGGTACTGACTA